TAAAAATCTCTTTCTCTGACTGTGTTGTGTGTCTCTGAATGTGCTGCCGATTCACTCTGTAAATTCTGCTTCCCAGATCATATATCATGCTTAAAATTTTATACCGTAAATCTTGGTTAGGTACTAATGAACCTTTAGAAAAATTGAAACATTCACAAGAATTATAGATAATTAAATGCTCCTAGTTTAACTGCTCAAAGTCGCCTAAAATAATTGATCCTTAAAATGAGTATTGCTAGAGAGTAAACACTTGCAATTCGAAAGACATTTGGCTGAAGCAAATTGATCTGAAAATCTGATACAAAATAGCAAAAACTTATTTTGTCTTCTCGGGACTTATGTTGTGGTTTTTATAATTGTTCTTTTATTTATTTTTTATTGTTTCACTGAAACCATGCTGATGAGTTTGCAACAGTTTGCGATTTATTCTTTGTGATATCCCAAAGGTAATAATAATGCATCTGCACATACACTATTATAATTTAAATCAGAGAAGCTTATGATAGAAGTCACCTAATATCTGCAACTTACTCTTCAATTGACAAACTATGTGTCAATCTTTCTGCCAGGGTTGAGTAGATTCTAAATCAGTAAGATATTAAAAAAAAGTGCAATCCGATCAAGCAGTAAGTGCATGAAATTCAACCCAAGCCCAAATCATGGTTTCTTCACTCTTCCAGAAACTGTAACTGCTTTGAGAGAATATTAATAATATCTTTAAATCATTTAATTTTAATTTGACTAGATAATAAAACACACAAAAGTGTGTTTTATTATCATTATAGCCTGTGGTATAAAAATACTTCTCAGTTAATTTTGTACCATTTTTGCTGAAATCTTTTTGAATTGTTAGATATAAGACTGGAAGTTGGGCTCATAACGCGATTGAATACTGTTTTTGGTATTGCTTGTAAAATGTGATATCAACTAATTTTAAGATAGTTCGGGGGTTTTTCATTGAATTTTATGCATAAAATATAAATTCCATCATTCATCACTTTACCTAATACAGCATACACTTTTTCATATTTCTCCAAAAACTTTTCTTAATTTTGTAGAGAAACATATGTGGCAACTAATAAGAAAAGTCGGATTTGAATATCTTAAAAATTTAAAAAGGTTCAAGTTTATTTTTGTACTTTTTAAAAGAAACTCAAACTGATAAGGGGTTTTCAACAAATATTATTTTGTATCATAAGACAAAATTGAATAAGAAATGATAATATCGTAAAAATATTGTTTATACACCATGATTGTTTAAGGAAAGAATAAAGGAGAAAAAAAAAGATGCCTTTATGGGGATGATCCCCAACAATGCCAGTGTCATTTTTAATAAATCTTGTTTAATAGCACAAAATGAAATTTGTGGATTATTTTAATTAATTTAAATTGTTCTAAAAATTTTGTATTTATTGAATATTTTTAGAATGATTGCAAAGAAACGTAAAACAAAAAAATTAGTTTTTATAAAAATGCCCATATCTCCATAAATATTTAATCTAGGTTTATGAAATTTTGTGCATTTATTGCTTATAATAACCAAATTAATTATTTTAAGTTACAAATTTATTGCTACATTTTTTGGCATAGGGTATTCAAAAACACTATTTTTCTGTTTGTAATTTATTGTCGTTCCCTCAAATTTCTAAAAGCTTTTAACTTCATTGAGAAGTATGAGAGATCGCATATCCCAAACACTTCTAAATTTATAAACTAATTTTCTAAGTATTTTTTGAGGAAGATCAAAAAATGTGTTAGTATAGAAGTTTTTCCATTATTTTGTCCAACCCCTGTATGCAGGAGCCGGTGAAACGCATGGGCAAAATAGGCCTAGATCCAGTGCAATATTCTCAGAAGTTGCCAAAATCTGGTCGATTGCCTTAAAAAAAATTTCAAAATTAAAATTATTGCCTTAAACGTTTAAAAAAAATTATTTACCTTAATAAATTATAAACATCTTTTTTTTTAAATATTATTGAATATGTAATGGCTCGAAGGCTTGGAACAAGTATTTCTGAAACTGCATGACTCGTGGGTTGTTTGCAATCTACAATTGTTAGTACTTATGCAAAGTGGATGAATGACGGTTAAACCAGCAGTAGACGACATGGTGTTGGAAGTCGACACGCTATCAAAGAAAAAGGTCGTCGGAGATTGTCTCGCTTGGTGAAGTAAAATCGGAGCCAGACAGTGGCTCAGCTGACAGCCCAATACAATGCAGGGTCAAGTAGAATAGTATCAGAGCACACTGTTCAGCGGACAGTGTTGGATATGGGGCTACGCAGCAAACGCCCTCCTCGTGAGCCTTTGCTGTCCAAGCGTCATTGCCAACTATGCCTGCGCTGGGCCCGGGAACATTGCGACTGGTCCATGGATCAGTGAGAGTGCCTGGTCAGATGAATCACAGTTTGTCATTCATCACGCTGATGGCCGTGTCAGGATACGCCGTCTTCCAGGCGAACAGTTGCTCCCTCAATGTACAGTAGGTCATACACAGGCCGGTGGTGGCGGTATTATGCTGTGGGGGACGTCCTCTTGGGCGCCTCTGGGACCCGTGATTGTAGTAGAGCAGACCATGAATGCTACAGGGTATCTGAACATCATTGCAGACCAGTTGCACCCTTATATGGTCTCTGTTTTTCCAGCTGGAAATGGAATTTTCCAACAAGTGTTGGAGTGGTTCCAGGAACATGATGCTGAATTCAAGTTAATGTCCTGGCCGCCTAACTCACCGGATCTCAATCCGATAGAACACATTTGGGATGTCATGGAACGGCAGCTCAGAGTTCAAAGACCACTAAGTCGCAATATCTCGGATTTGCATGACCGTTGCTTAAACATCTGGTAAAATCTGTCTTCGGCCATCTACCAAGGATTTGTGGCATCCATGCCAAGGCGGATTGCAGCTGTGTTGCGGGCTAAAGGTGGGCCAACTCGTTATTAAGAGGTGGTCATAATGTTTTGGCTCAAGAGTGTATTTTCTTTAGACAAAAAGCATTAATTAATAAAATTTTTATAAGATTATAATTGATCATGTAGGACTATAGGACTTTTTTCCTGATTTTTATTATTTTTTTAAAATTATGTAACAAATAAAAATCAAATTGAAAATCATTAATTTAATATAAAATACTCAGTTTTCAACAATGCTGTACTTTAGTTTTCATAATTCCGTCTTCGATAATTTTATATTTTTGGTCTTAATTTTGAAATTCATGAAATTCTACATAGTTAAAAAAAGTTTTAGATTTGTGTGTGTTTTTTTTTGTTGTTGTCCGTTTTAAGCTTGATAGATTAAAAACTAAATTTTACAATTTATTTGCATATACATTTCTAGTTTTCCTTTTTTTTTAAATGTATTTTAAGATGTTAAAATTTTGTTTAAGATGTCAAAATAATCAAAACTGATCCTATTTTTTCTAAAGAAAAAAAAATATGAAGAATAGAATAAAATTTTGAATCTAGTAAAAATTATAAAAACATTTAGTTTTATGCATTCAGTTAAATTTTTTTTTAAAAATATAATTTTATTTTAGTAGCTGTTTAATTTGAAAATTGTTACCTTGATGCAAATTACTAAGTTATGAGACTTAAAAATTAAGATTTCGAATTTAATATTGCTTAGTTCTCAGTTATTGGGTGAACTTGTAGGAAAAATATTTTAATTTGGATTTTTTTTATTTTAATTGTATTTTTTATTGTCTAAAAATTTTTTTTTAGCAAAAATTAGTTTTTTTTATTATTAATCTAATATTTAAACTTATTATATTATTTTGATGTTGATAGTGTTTCATAATCATATAATTATTTTCTTAATTGATCTCAAGAGCCCTCTTCAAATTCATTGATATACTTGAAGGAAAAGGAGGTGGGTTCTTATCTCTTTCACGTTCAACTGTCAAAAGCATGTAACACTGAAAACAAATGGGGAAATATAATTTTAATATCTTTGGAATTTTCAAGCATGATTCAAATTAAAAAAATTTAGTTTAAAAAAGTTTTAAAAGATCTAAAAACAGGCAAAAATACAATATTAAATTACCCTCCCAATAGTATTGCTAATCATATAATTTTTTTGCATTAAACTTATGAGAAGATCTATAGAACAGTTTTAAGAATTATTCAGTACTCTCCCAATTTAGTAAGTAATCAAGTAAGAGTTTTCTTTGCGACTTTTTAAAAAAATTCTGTAATGGTATAACAATGTCGAATTATACTCTATCATTAAAAGTTTAAGAACAAAAAACATCGAAAAAATGAAAAGTTATTTGCACAAAATCCAAGAAAGCAAGGAGAGAGGGCTTTTCAGAGGGTGCTATTTTGCCATCTTGGCCAAGGTGCCAAAAATTCTTGCGTCATCTCTGTATACTAAGAGTTCCGTTATTTGATTTTACATTTATTCATAGGTTTACATTTATACACTAATTCTTTCATGCTAAGAGAAAAAATTAATTCCTGAAACACAACCATGCCCCATAAAAGTGATAGGATCACTGTTGCATTTATATTAGTTTGTCAAAAGAGATGAAACTATGTATCAGTGAAAACATTTATTAAATTCCTAAAATATTTTTAAAAAAAAGCTTCTGCAGCAAGAAGACAGTGTAGAGATATTATTCCAATACTTCTTAGATGAATAAACATTTTCTGAAAAATATTGCCAAATTTTCTCCAACCTACTCTAAAATCGGTACAAAATTATATTAGAGTTGTTGAAAAGAAATTCTTATTGCTAAAGGAGTAATCGTTGCTAAATTGTGCTTAAAAGTAATTTAAAATATAAATTGGTAAAGAAACTTTTTTTTGCTTTAAGCACTGCTCAAAAAATTGCTATTCAAGTAGTTCAATGAATTTTAATTCATATTTCAAACATCAATACTTAAAACTATTTAATACTAAGTTATGCCTTTAAATATAATTTGTATTTTAAATGCACATACTAGCGAAGGAATTGTAATCAATCATTTTCGAAATTTAATTATTTTTTCCCTTAAAAACAGCTCGCATTGTCTGACGTTATGCACTTAAATGTGTCATCATGTGGAACATCACTACAGAATTCACCTTCCGACAAGAAAGAGTGGTAATCATTTTATATGTTCTCATTACACTCCTTTTACAGAGGTTGATTTGTCTTGGTATTTACACATACATAAAGAAAGTTATTTTTAGTTACTTATGTAACAAATCAAATATATCTTTGAGCCAATGTTTTAAATCTCTATTCTTTTTCAGTACTTGAACTATTAGTCAAGATTCCTTTTTTTTCAAACTATCAATAAGGTGCATATAATAAAGGTGGTTGATATAAATTGTGTTTTTGGAAACCAATGGAAGCAGTTTTAATATCATGCTATTGAAATAATGAGCCCAATTTTTCTCTGTTAGCTCTCTAGAAATAAGAAGCAATTCTAAAGTTGTTTTTATAAAAAGTATGTCTCTTGATAATAGACACAAGTGTTTTTGATATGTCGCAATTTATGGAATGCAGCTAGTCTTTTGCATACATATATTTGTTGCCTATGAAGGAGTAAAAGAATTTTTAAGAAATATTCACATTAAACATGGTGTTCTTTAACAACTCTTCATGATGTATATTTTTAAAATTCTTTTTCAAACATCAAATCACTAGCCTTGTTGCTAATGATTTATTAAATGAACAGTGATCAAAATGTCAAAATCTTACTTTTCACTCAGAATCAAGTATATTTCAAATATGCATTATATGTTGAATAAAAACAATATCATTAATTTCTATTCATTAAAATAATTGAAAAATTAAAGCATTGATTTTGTTAATATGTTTGAAAGACACATTTCTTTTTGGAATAAAGGTGGACACATTTTATTTAAATATATAATAATTAAATCCTAAAACACAGCTATCTGTCAGTGATTTTTGTATTTGTTACTACATAAAATAAATATATTTTTAAAAACTGAGAAACATTATGATAGATATAATTAAGTTTTCTTTTATTGTCTCAGCAATATGCATTATAAATTAATGACAGTAATAACTGCAAAATCTTACATTTTTGTCAAATGTTTCATATATGATGGAATTGTTATTTATGAAGTAAAATGAGTGTTTAAGACTGAAAATTTTTTATGATTTATTTTGCAAGATAACGAATTCAAAGACGTTTGAATCAATCGTAAAAAAGATAAACAATAATAGGTGAATTGAAATAAGCAGGAAAAAAACAAACTTTAACATTTATGCTGTAAGTTAAATAATTCAAGAATGCAAACTTTGCATCTGAAGTTAAAAAAAAGCCTCTTGCTACATGGGGCTTGGTTTTTTCCTCATGTATGCATTATGTAAAATACCCACTTACTATTTAAAATGTATTAAACAACAGGCTATGCATTTTTGGAGACGCATACATTTTATGCAGCGAATTTTGGATAAATAATTTAATCAACTGTATTATATTGCATGAAAATTACTTTTTGAGTTATGATAGGAATGCAGTTTAGTAAATGATTTTCAAACAAGTAATTTGATCTCCTATTTTATGTTATTCACGCCATTGGGCTCATAAAGTATTCAGCCTACTTTCCCATGCTCTTACAATCTGTTACTTGGGATATGTTTTCCTTTAATTCATTTAATTGTACCTTCTTAAAATCTGTTTGCCTTTGACATGTCATTCCAGTTCTTTCTCATTTCTTCCTCCTATCAGGAGCCCAAGAGAGCAAAACATTTGTTAATTGTTTTCATCTTCCTAAGACCAATGATTACCACTCTGGTTTCCCAACCTTCAACTGGCTCCGGTTTTATACAATGCACTTAAAATAATCTCAAACATGCATACTATTGAATCATATAAAAATAAAATTCTTGATTGTTTGAAAATTCTTACTCTTAAACCCTTTCATTGAAACTTAGAAAGGAAAATTAAAATAAAGTGCTTATTTTTTGGTGAAACTAAATGAGATAATTCGGGGTTGAGATTTAAGAAATTTAGACCTCAAGCAGTTTTTTCCCCATCTTGTTTAAATTTTAATAAATAATTTGTTTTAATTTTTTTTGGTAGTTGTGATGTTTCTCAAGCTACATCTACTACTGAAACTCTAAGAAGTCCTGAAAATTTTTCTCATAATGCAAGTATACTTTTATTTTACTTTATTCTTTGCCTTTATTAATCAATAATAATTTTTCTCAAAATACTATTTGTTCAACCTTAAATGGTTATGCATTTCTAGCTGTTAAAACTGCTTAACTAGAAAGGAATACAAATAAAATAATGATATTTATTGAACATTTACTGTATAATGGAAAAAGCAAGTGAACATACCAGAAATTAGGATCCTGAAAAAATCAGCACCCAAAGTTGCCACACCTGGCAGATATAAGATTATTTATTGGCTTGCACTTGGAGTCAAGGAGAGATAGTGTAGCATTTCTGGGGATCTCAGACAAAACAGCTTCATGACTATGCAACAGTTCATTAACAATAGTAGTGGCAGACAATCATTTAGCAACTATTAACTATGGGCTTTTAATTATTCAAAGTATATATCTAAAATTATGTAAGCACATTTGAGCTACGTCAACAATCAAATATTTTCTGCGTCAAGGAATCTTAGGACATAATGGTTTGCATGCAGCCATGCATCGCCCTGCTAAAAATATACCATTAGAGAGGCCTTGATGGTGAGGCATGGCTAATGATCTTAACAGGTTGAAAATATAATGGTTGGTGTTCAAAGTGCTGGGAATGCAAAGCAGAGATGATCACTATATGTATCCAAAGGCACCTCTACAATCACTGCAAATGATTGGCCAGTATACTGATATTAATTGGTGTAAATGATTGTGGTTATGATTATTCTGTACACTGAACTGGGATTTGTCTGCAAAGATAAATTTGGAAAATTTCTGTGCCCAGGATAGTTATTAATCCCACCATTAAAGGCACTTCAGTCTGTGATACAGAGTCATGGATGGATGAAGACCATGCTAACTGTTCCAGCATAAACTTAGCATTTTACAAACTACTTCATTTTTTGCTTCGTGTTTCATGACATGACTAAGTAATTCCTTTTGAACCTGTGTAAACCATGTCTGCCTTCTCAGTCATGGGGGACTGCTGAAATTGAGCATGACATTTCATATTATTCATGGGGCTGACCTCAAATGTGCTAATTAATTTGTGCAGATGATATTTAAATTACAAAATCAGATACAAAATGTACTTTCTCTAAGTAACATACCTTTTTTCCATGGTTTTGTATTCTTTACTCTCAAAATATAAGGAGTAACTGCAATCTGGGAAGTATGATCCCACTAGTTTGACCACAAAGTTAGGACCCCCTTAACTTTTACTTTTTTCTCCTTTTGCTATATCTCCAAAACTTTCAAAGTGAATTGAAAAATTTTTGCATGAAATTGTAAAAGTCATTTATCAAAAGATAATTTCATGCATAAAATCATTTTCAATAATTATTTTATTATTTATTTTTTTTTAATTTTGTTTTTTATTTAATAGTTGTTCAAAAAATTTTGAATTGTAAGGTATAATATTGTTACATCACTTTAAAGACAATAATTTTATATGGCAAAATACAAATTTGAGCGAAATCAATCGTATATTTCCTAAGCTCAAATTTTAAGTATACAACTTTTTTCAAATTTGATTACTCAGAAACTATGTTACCAATTTTCTTAAAATTTTGTATTGAACCATATAAAATTTGATTTTTTAAATTGATGAAAAAAAAGCGTATACCTTACAACTCACGACTTTTTTAAAATTTAATTTCTCAGGAGCAATGCAAGCGATTTCCCCCCAAATTTTCTTTTTTGACATATAAAATTACATTTGCTAAAAAAATTTTTACCTTAGAATTCAAAATTTTTCCGACTACTATTGAATAAAGTAATGAAAAATAATAAATGATTATTAAAAATTATTTTTTGCCTGGAATTATGTTTGAATAAACATTATTATAATTGTGTGAAAAAATTTAAAATTAGCTTAAAAAGTTATCAAGATATACCAATGCGTACAAAAACTAAAATTAACATCCCTCCTCATCTTTGGACATGTGGCAGCATTGGTACTTTTGAATTGGCCAAAAAATAGGTCACAAAAGAGTGCATTGTTGAGATTAAGCTCATAAATGTGTGCTATGTAGGGTCAAGATTATTTGGAATGTTTAATGTCATTGCCATCCAAATGATAATCTGAGTTCAGGAATTCAACTACACACATTACATTTTTGTCAATGATTATTGATACCTTTCAAATTATCCTTCATCTCTTCACAGCGTTAAAAAAATACCTTGTGTCACTGCAAACATACTGATTATTTGCAGTAGCGGCACAAGGCATAACTTTTTTTCTTATTCTTTGGTGTTCGGACAAATAATCAAAGTTTCAACTGCAAACTCGCTGAGTTTTACACAAAACTTTGTAGCAATCTCTCATGCACTGCATGAGACCTTGCGCAAAAGATAAAAAGGAGTTTCAAGAAAATGCTTGTCCTTACTGTCCAAATGGTCAGAAATTATAGAAAAACCACATAAACTGACTGGACACTAAATTCAATAATATTGCTTTCTGGAAAAACCCTGTAACTAAGAGATGCATATAATTCTTTTTAATGAAATTTTTTACTAAAATAAATAAGGATCAATACTTTATATTCAAATTAGGTCAATTATTAGATCTGTCCAAACCAGAAAAAATCAGTGTTCAAAAAATTTCAGTTTCACTAAGATGCTTGTTGAAAAAGTGTTTTGGATTATTTTGGTTGTATCTTCACACCTAATAAAAGTTATAATAAAAATTATTTGTAACAGAAAGTATTTCAGTATAATATCTACCTCTAATGTGAAATATTATTTTTAATAATCTTATTTACTGTAAATATTTCCTTACAATATTAATGTCCAGAAAAATGTGATTTATTTTAATTTTCTATTGTTCTCATAGATTACTAATGAATCTAGTGCTTCTGAGTGCATCTTATGGTTGCAAAATAACATGTTTCTTAATTACTTGAAAGATTTTGAGAATTTCTCTGGTATGTACCATGTTAAAACTCATATATTAAGTTAAAAAATATGTAGCATCTATGTGTAGCATCAAAACTTGTATGCCTTTTTGCGAGTATTTTACTGTAGTGTTTCTTTTTTTGCAACAAAACTTTAGTCTGTTAATTTTATTTGGTTGTAAGGAAAGAGTCACTTATTTTTTAAATCTAAATTTCTTTTTGAGTGGCATTAAATAGTTTGAGTTTATAATTTTTTTTTGTAACTAAACTCTCTTTATTGATATAATATACTAATAATTATTACTACTTTAATGACCTTACTTTAACCCACTGGTGGTTTTGACATTTTCTTTTTTATGTTTCCTAATGTTTAAATTTTTAATAAAACATTTTTTTTTCATACTTATTTTTCCAACCCCTGTAATCAGAAACCTGTGGTATGATGGGTCAATTTTCTTCTTTCTAATTTTGAATCTTTAAATTTAGATAGATTTATCATATAAGAAACTGGAGTTTTTTCTTAGTGCTGGATGGACTGTTTGTTGGTGGAAGTCACGTTTTCTACATGCACAACTATTTGGGAGGGTAAAAAAAAAGAGTTATGATCCCCTTGTTATGGAGAGACTTATATGTTCTAAATTATAAATTTTTTGAAATTTAGATAGTGTAATATTCAAAAATTTTAATTTTTCACAAGTTTAGATGATTTTTAAATTTTTTTCGAGATTATAAATTTAAAATTTGTATCATTTTTTAAACAAAATTTAGATAAAATTTTTTTTGTAAAATTTAGGTAATTTGTTTTGTTTTTTTTTTTTGTAAAATGTATTAATTGTAAAATTTTGAAAATTTTTCAACGGAATAAAAAGTTTACTTACAAAGCAAGTAAGAAATGAATTCAATTTCTTAATTTACCCCCAAAAATATATTAGACAGATTACAAAAATGAAACTTTGATTACACTTAGAAAAAATGTCTCCACAGCAATAATTAGCAGAAAGCTGGAAATTGTATTAAAAATTTTGGTTTAAGTTCTGTAGGTGAGCCTTAAAATTTACTAAAGGATAGGGGTCATAGAGGAAAGCTTAAATATTGTTTATTCACTTTTGTCTCTCGAATTTCCGCCTTTTTATCGAAAACTCTGATTCTTTAAAAGTGTCACTTTTATTCTTTATAAATATTCCGCTTTTTCAGAAAATTCAGCAGTTGAACTAAAGTAAAAACATTTATTTCCAATTTTCAAAGATGGTGATGGGACAAGGACTTACTGCCTCTGCAAAAATTGCCCAGACTTAGAACTAACCCCCATGCATTTTTTCAACTGTCCCGCTATACTGGCACAATTGCAGCTAATAAGTGACAATCCGTTGGCAGATTTATATGAAGAAAATTGCCTTCAAATTGCAAATGTTGTATATAGGACCTTTGATCACATTTAAAATTATTTTCTGTCTATGACACGACACCAACCAACCATTTTCAAAGATAAACAGAAATTTCAAACTACATAGCTACCAATCTTTTCGCATTTTTACTTATTTTAACTATTTTTTCCGCTTTTATGTGCAGAAGATAAGATTTTCCGCATTTTTACCCGTCTGCCAGATAGCTCATATTTTCGTAATTCAAACGACGCTACTTCAAGCAAGACTTTTAGAAGTTCCAAGCCCAGAATCAGCTAATATCTCGATTCTTATTAACGCGATTTTAATATCAAACATAGCATTTCGTATTTACGTGATTTGAAATTTGTGCGTTACGACTCTTATTCACGCGATTTGAATATCGTACATTGCGATTCTTATTTACGAGGTATCGCGATTTGTCTTTACACGTTTTGAAAAACCTATGTAGTGATTCATATTCACACGAGTTTAAAATCCTTTGTCGTGATTTGCTCATGAGGCTATACCAAACATCGATTTTCGTATTTATACGTGATTTAAAGATAAATCATTAGGATTCGTATTCACGCAATCTAAAAATTATGCATCGTGATTTGTATTTATGCAATTTAAAAAATATAAATCGTGTTTTGTATTTACGCGATTTAAAAATTCTGTATCTCAGTTTGTATTTTCTCATTTTCAACATCTAATATCGAATTTCTTATTGACGTGATTTCAAAATTCATATTCACGCAATTTTAACACCCACGATCGCAATTCGTATTCATGCAATTTTAAGATCAACTATCGCGAGTCTTGTAAGAAGTAATTTTTTTTTTCTAGAATTAGTTTCTATAAAGGTGACTGATTTTATATCGACGATTATTAGTATATGTAGGCTTTACAACATCAGCGAAACTGGAAAAGAATATGTTCAAAACTTACATTCTGTGCTTGCAAAGAAGAAAAAGTAGGATTTGTTAAAAGATGTTTGAAGATGAGCTAACGACTAAATAAATCACCAATCTGTTTGTGTCAGTTTTGCTATTACTACAAGAATATATAAAACTTTTCTGAACTGGAGCACCCTTCACTTTATTCGCAAGCTGCATTACAAGCAATTTGACCTTGTTAAAGAATTTTTTTGCTTGTTTTGTGAAACATGAAGTATTTGCAGCAATTGGAATTAAAACAAAAAAAAAGGATATAGCAAATATAAAAGATATAGCAAACAAAAGCAATCACTTAAAAAATAATAAAAAAATTTTTTGAAAAAAGAGTTAATTAACTCAGCACCAAAATTTAAAAAATAATGTTGCTGTTATTTATGCTATAAAATGCAAAATTCTTATCAAATGAAAAATAATTATCTAAACAGTTGCTGATTATTGTGTAATTTTTCAAACTAAAATAGCAATTTTTGTATGTTAAGGAGTTACTTTATATTTCTACCTCGCAGTTATTGATATGTTTCACAGAGTTCTTGCTAGATTAGATTGTAATATGAGCATAGTGATTCCAATTGTAAAAGTTTCTTTTCTGTTAAAAATAATTTAAAATGTCATGTTACTCATATATTTGCTATAAGTCAAGTAACAGTATTTGTTAAGAGAAATGGAATATTAATGTATGTTCTCAGTAGTTTTAATTTGCTAAACCAGGCAGTTTCTCAAGTAATAATTGTCTGAAGCAAAATATAATTTTCGAGCTTTATTTTTTTTAATTGGCAATTTTACTTTTTACTAAATGTTAAGTATCAATGTAATCATTTATAAACCAAATTAGTACGCAATTTTATGTTCACACATTGTTATTTATTATCTTTAATTGTCTGAAATCTATTATTAAACGATTGCACATGCGTAAAATTTAGTCGCATGGAAATTCAGCTTTTTTGCCTTTTGGCCAATCTCATCCCTGTATCTTGAGGGGGTGAAGTATTTAAAGCAATTTTTTACTTTTACAATTTTTACTTAAACATTTTTACAGTCTGAATGAGCTAGAGAAAATGATATTACAGAATTTATCCGACAACTATTGCAAGAAAAAAGTAAAAAATTTAGAAGTAAAAAAATTAGCTGAGAAATGTTTTCTGAAGGTGAAATAATGTTGAATTATCAAAACTTGAGGTTTTGCATTTTTTATGCGCTTGAAATTTTTTAAATATTATGGTGATTAAAAATATGATAAAATAATTTTATTTCTTTTAATTTTGCCTCAAATAGTTTTATGAGTTTCCTTGAATTAATATTATATAGAGTTGCTTGTATTTTGGAAAAAGCAAACAAATAAAGCCTTTGCAAATCCATATCTAAAGTTAGAATTAGAATGTTTTATTTTCTGCTTTCTTATATATATATATATATAAGAAAGTCTTAACTTTCTTTGTGTTTACTTGTATTTATTTATTTATTATTATAGTGATCATATTTAATGCAGCTTTAGCGCTTAATATTATCTACTATTAACTTTCTTTCATTCTCCTTCTGTTTTCGTTTTAATTTCCTTTTTCCTATTTCCTGTCTTTTGGACGTTACGTGTGTTTAGGATGTTGCTCTTTGAGCCTTTTTTATGGAATTAAACAATTATAACAATTTAGCGCCTGGTAAAAAATGTGTTCAATATTTAAATTATTCTTCATGTTGTACCCGGTACGGAGAGTCTATATCAGAGGGGAACTTCGGATCGACATCCTGCTACTCTGAAAGCAAAAGCGAAAGCAAACGATTTTTTGAATTGCATTCTATTCCCAAAACTTTACCTTCCTATAAAGCGTGTGATGATAAAACATGCAAAACTTGCCCTAATATTGACAAAAAACATACTGGTCTTTAAAACGTTAACTCCAAATCTTTTTGTAAAATTAAAAATGTTATTTATATGTTAACCTGTGGTTTCTGTAATATGAAATATGTTGGACAAACTAGTAACTCATTTAACATTCGAATAATTCAACACCGTTCTGATATTAACAGTAATAAGACTATCAATAACCTGGAATTGAATCATTTTAGAGTACATAAATTTAACAGAGTCAAAATTAATATCTTAGATATTATAGAGGATTTAGATTTAAGACTACAGAAAGAAAATTACTACATGCTTCTATACAAAACAATTCTGCCGTATGGGCTAAACGATACCTTCCAACATACACAGATTAACTACAATAACTCATCAACTTTTTCACTTTTTCATATAAAAGATAAGCGTACAAATCGAGGTAAACGGGTTTCAAGAAGTAATAGAATCGCTATTAATATTGACAAATTAAATATATTATTTCTTTCTAATATGGAAAAAGACTTTAATAAACAATTTAGCATTAAACCAATGAAAGATTTTGTCTTCTCCCTTAAGAATTATGACGTATATAAGTTCTACGATCTAATTATTAACTTTTCTTTCATTAATTTACATTTCAAAATTCTTTGTTTCGATCTTATAAAAGCCAAAATGAGCAAAATTTTGCCTAATAAAAAGAAAAGTTTGGATAATTTATATTTTGTCATTAACTTTCAAAATCCTATTTTCAATAAGATCAAATTTCGCAAAATTTTTGAAAATTTATAGCTTTATTTCCATTAAAAGATTTTAACATGATTAAAAGTTTTAAATATAACAAATCTCTTGGTAGAACCA